GGAGGCCGGAGCGCTCGGCCGGTTCCCGCTGGACACCGGCCAGTGCCCGTGCGGCCGCGTTCCGCAGCGCTGTCCACGTCGGCCCGCCATGCGCCCGCCGGCCCCGGCCGTGCTGGGGCTGCTGCTTCTGACGCTGCTGTCGCCCGGCGAGGCCAAGAAGCCGACGCCCTGCAAGCGATGCCGGGAGCTGGTGGACAAGTTCAACCAGGTGGGCCGATCACCCCGCGGGGACACGAGGCCAGGGGTCTGGCCGGGGTCGCCCCGCCATGGACCAGGGTCACCCCACCATGGACTAGGGTTGTCCCGCCGTCTACTGGGGTTACCCCCTCCGTGAACTGTGGTCACCACACCAGGGACCCAGGGTTGCCCTACCATGGACTGGGCCATCCCACCATGGATCTGGGGTCATTCCATCATGGACTGGGTCACCCCACCATGAACTGTGGTCACCCCACCATAGACCGGTCACCTCACCATGGACGGGGTGAGGCAGCAGTGCTGAGGTCTGTGCGGCCGTCTCCCCGCAGGGAATGGTGGACACAGCAAATAAGAACTTTGGTGGTGGAAACACGGCTTGGGAGGAAAAGACGCTGTCCAAGTATGAATTCAGGTGGGCGCCCTGCTCTTACTGGCTCAGCGCCTGCCTTTGGTGCCTGACGTGTTCCTGGGAGCGTTGACAGACACAGAGCGTCTCTTGGGGCTTGTCACCTGTCCTTGCCTGGGGCTGGCACACTGGCTCCTGGCTGGGCTTTTGGCTCGCACACTTGTCCCACTCGCCCTCCACTCGGCAGACACGGTGGTTTCTTAAAAACATAGGTGGGATAAATCCCTCCTGCCCCCCGCCCCGAGCTCCGGCCTCCTCCGGCCCCATTGCAGGGCTTCCCCGGGCACACCCCACACCCGAAGTCCCACCGTGAGGATGGACAGGCCTCCCTGACCAGCCCCACCCTCCATGTTTAGTTCTCTGCCTGGCACCGACTACCCCCGGCCCCAGTTGGGTGTTTGCTGAGGGTCTTTTTTCACTGAAGTGCCACTGTAGTCGTGGCCTGGCCGCAGGTGGGGCCTCGGGACATCCCCGGGGAATGGACGCTGACCACTGAGGTGCCCCTTGCCCCAGCCTCGCCGTGCTGACGGCCTTGTGTTTCAGCGAGGTCCGCCTGCTGGAGATCATGGAGGGCTTGTGTGGGACCAGCGACTTCGAGTGCAACCAGCTGCTGGAGGAGCACGAGGGGCTCCTGGAGACCTGGTGGCTGCGGCTGTGAGTGCCTGCGTCCCCGGGGACCAGTGCCAGTGACTCCTGGCTTTTGAAATGATGTCAGGTTTAAAAAGCTACAAAAATAGTAGGGGTTTCCACACACCTGTTTTCTTCCATACCCGTGTTCCCATCGTTTATCACCAAAGTGCGACCATCCAGACGAGGGTGTCAGCTGGAAGAGTCTTTTGGCACCCAGACCCTTGTCTCCCAGATGCCATGATACATACTCAGAAGCACGTTACATGTTCAACTGTGTTTTTGTTTTGAGGAAATCTGCCGCGTGAGATTTACTGAACACTTTTAAAAATTCTCAGGAAGCAGAAGTACCCTGACTTATTTGAATGGTTTTGTGTGAAAACACTGAAAGTTTGTTGTGCTCCAGGAACTTACGGGCCAGACTGCCTGGGTGAGTTTTCTGCGGGGACTCGTGAGCGTCCTGTGTGTTTCCGGTTAGCCCTGTCGTGATTCCCAGCTGGGCAGGAGCTCGGGTGGGAACGTGGGCCCTGTGCAGCCTCCTCCCAGCTGCAGGGATCTTCGCCTCTGGGTATCTGGTCCCAAGTATGCTCCTAATTCAAGGCTCCACAGACCCTCTGGTTGCCCACCTGGGTGCTGCCCTCTGGGTGCGGGGAGGTGGCCCATAAGCAGCGAAGCCCGTGTGAGAGGCCGGGGCCAGGGGCGTCCAGCCTCCGGGGGTGAAGAGACTGAGTGAAGCCATGGCTGCCGCCCAGGCGTCACCAAAATGTTCACGTGGATCAACTGGGCAAGGGGCACGATGCTGGCGCTCAGGCCCCACCCTGGCTGAGGCTGCCCCTGCCTGTCCCGCCGGTGTGGCGTCACAGCGCGGGCCCTCACTGTCACGTCCTTGGCCCCGTGTCCCGCGTGAGGCAAGCCGACGCCTCCTTCAGACACCTCACCGGTGTGGGGCTCCTCTGTTCCCAGACGGAAGGGGTGGAGCAGGGCTGGGGTTTCAGCAAGGCGCAGGGAGCTGTTGTTATGAATGTGTCGCGGGGTGCGCTCTGAGCGGGCTCGGGGTCCCCGCAGCGTGCCAGGGCGGGTCCGAGCGGCCCTGCAGCGGGAACGGCCACTGCAGCGGAGACGGCAGCAGACAGGGCGACGGGTCGTGCCAGTGCCACCTGGGCTACCAGGGGCCGCTGTGCGCCGACTGCATGGACGGCTACTTTAACTCACTGAGGAATGAGACGCACAGCATCTGCTCAGGTACCCGGAGCTGCCTGTGTAGACGGGAGGGGGGCCCGGTGACCGCTGACCCAGGCTTCTGGGAGCTGAGGGGGAAGGTGCGGGCCCTTGTACGATGTAAGAAGGGACATGACAGTACCAGCAGCCGGGGATGGTCTCGCTTCCTGTCCCCAAACAAGCCCCAGGAGGGATGTGTGAGTTGCTTACCCGCGATGGCCTTCTGGAGAAGGGCTCGGAGGGTGGACAGTGTGGCACCTCCCGCTCCGTGACGTCCACGCTGGTCCCGGGGCCCCGGACCTGCCCCTGGGGCGTCTGGCCCGAGGTTTGCCCTCCCCGCAGCTGTCCCAGCAGCGTGACCTCCTGGCCCCAGGTCCCCATGTAGAGGACACGCCGTCTTGGTCACCCTGGTGTTGGGTAAGGTGGGCTCTCCCACCTGGGTCTTCAGAGGTGCCCTGGCTGTCGTTCTGGGCGCCCCTGTGAGTTCTGAGATGGGCCCATGGGGTTGCACGGATGGAGCCTTCTCAGCTGTGATGGGCACGCTTCTCCCTTCTGGTTGGGGAGGCCCATGCCCTGCTCGTGAGGCTGCATCAGCCCAGGATGGCATCCTCTGATGGGGTGTAGATGTGTAAATCCAGGGAGGAAGCCACAAGTCGCACCCTGTCTCGATGTGTTTTCTCGTTGGTTGTCACTGATGTACAAGAAGACCTTTTGGGCGTCAGCAGTTGTGTTGAATTCTCCCGTCAGGGCTGGCGGTGAGGCTGCACTCCCTTGGGCATCCCCATGGAGAATGTGCTGGGTGCCTGGGAGGCCAGCCCCTCTGATTCCTACCCCCAGGCCTCTCCCGGGCCCAGAACGTCCACGCGTGTTGGCGGGCGGCATGCACACACCCAGCTGGGTGTGGGCTCCGGCATTTGGGAGGCTACCTCTGCCAGGTTATGAGCAATTCCTCTGGAGTCCTCGTTTGCTGAGAATTTTATCACCCCTGGGCGTGGAAATGCCCGTGTGTTCTCTTCTCTCGTTAAGTTCAGGGATGTTGTGAATCACACGAGTAGGTTTCTCTGTCGTTGAATGTATCTTGCTCCGCTGGGATTTTTTGCTGGTTTGCGGTTTTTGTTTTCACCCTATGAATGTCAGCTCCTAATTTCCGAAACGCCCTTTGCATCGAGTTCACTCCTGAGACGGGATCCCCACGTACTGATGGCCATCCCACCTCTGCCTTCCAGCCTGTGACGAGTCCTGCAAGACGTGCACGGGCCCTACCAACAGAGACTGCGGCCAGTGCGAAGTGGGCTGGGCGCGGGAGGACGACGCCTGTGTAGGTGAGGCTGGCGGCTGCCCTCCCCCACCCCTTCCCCCCACTCTCTCGTGGCGTCTGCGCAGCCCCCAGCTACCCTCAGGACACCCCACTCCTACCCTCTGCCCCCTTCTGACTCGTGGGGAAGCGGCCTCTGACGTTCCAGGCTGTATCTTAACGGGCCACAGCATGGAGGCTGGGCTTGTCCACGTGTGATCTTGCCTGTGGGCTGGTTGCTGCACGTGAACCCTCTGTGGCCTGGACTCTGGGCTGGGAAGGTGGCCCCTGTCCCCCGTCCTTGCCATCAGGTGGCCCCGGTGGTCCTGTTGGCTCAGGGCCTGGGAGGGAAGCCTGGGACTTAGGCCCAATCGTGTGTCCTCAGGCCCTGGTTTCATAAAAGAGACAGACGTGGGGTGGGGGGCTCTGGCCAGCAAGTGGGCACTGCAGGGCGTGGGCAGCCGCTGACTGTGGTGGACTCTGCATGGCCCCTCGGTCTGGAGGCCCTAGCTGTGGCACGTGGCTCTCCCTGTCCACTGTGCCCAGGCAGCTGGGGCCCCGCCTGTTCCCGGGGTGTCTTCTCCTCGAGCTGCAGCCTTTCAGCCCGGCCGCCAGCATCTCGGCCCTGCCCGAGTCCACGCAGGCCCAGGTGCTGGCGGGGGTGGGTGGCCGCCGGGCTGCCGTCCTCCCGCCAGGGCCTTGGTTTTGGTCTCATCCTCACAGCTGCTCAACCGCAGGCAAGTCGGGGCCTCACGTCCCAAACTGAGTGGGGAAGGTGGTGGCCCCCCCAGCCCCGCCTTGGAGCTCCACCGAGGCCCCGGGGAAGCGCTCACGGGTCAGCCGCTGGTCCCACC